CTTGTGTATTCACAGCTTGTAAAATTCTTGCAATCTGTTCCACCGGTCATATTACCTTTGTGTTTAAAACGCTTCGTGCTGCGGAGCAGTGCAGCCAAGAAAAGCAAGAAGCTAAGGAAGCTGGAGGAGAGCCTGAAGGGCCAGAGCGGCCGGTCTCATTCCCTTGCTCCTTAAGCAGGTAGCTCTGTTTTGCGGGTGAGTCACCCAGATTTTAAGGCAATTTCCCAGAGAAAAAGGGCTTCTTCCCACCTCCCTTAAGGAGGTTAAGGATGGGGACGCAGGTGGGTGGTTTGGGGAGGAACGTGCTCCCCATCCAGCCCATACGGGGACTGGAGCACGTGCAAGGCATCTGCTGTCGGACCATTTTTTGGTGTTTTTCTGAGAAAACAGGAGACAGAAGCAACAACTGTTCCAGGGACTATGGCGAGCATGCAGACAGCCCCGCTTGCCTCTCGCCACCCAGCAACAACAGGGGTTTTGTGTCCCCTCCACATCAGACGGGCTGCGTCGCCCACTCTGCCACCCGATCCAGACCCAGGCCAGGGCCTCTCGCGGATGGCAGCACCATTTGCCCACCCCATTTTTGTTACCTTATATCTCCCCCTCCTCCCTAAAACCTCAACAAAATCATAAAGTTAAAAAGGGAGCCTTGGCATCTGTCCCATTTTTATTTTAGCAGCTTCAGTGGTAAATTAAATCCACTCTGGCACAGCCAGCCAGCACAGCTGTTTCAGCAAAGGAAACATCCTCAGTTCAGAGGAGAGGAAATTATGACAAATTTGTGCAAAATTAAAACACGTAATATGCATTTGTGTGTACATGTGTAAAATAAAAAGCTGTCCAACCAACAGCTACTCCCTTGAATAACGTGATGGGACTGTTTGCATGGGGCGCTTGGTGGTGCTGACTCAGGCCACAAAAGGGGCAGTTTCGGCAACACATCAAAGCCAAGGTGCTCGCTCCTTCCCAAAAAGCTATTTCTGGATGTCTGCAGTGGGCAGCTAGATTATCTCCGTACTGGCTGACCCTCTTCCAGGGCTCTGACTTGTCCCTGTGGTATTCTCCAAAGGAAGCTCATTTTTCCCCATGGCACAGCCCTGGTCCTACCAGTGGGATTGACCTGGGATAACACAAAGGGACAGGCTTGTTTCTAGGGCAGGCAGCTCTCCTGAGCCATGTCCCTCCCTAGCTACAAAGACAAGCACTCACTGCAGGTCCTGCCTCAACAGAACCATCGTGAAACCAAAGCACCGTTCGACTCCTCCCAGAGTGATGCTACAGCAGGACACTAATCCATCCTGCGGCCTCTCCCTCCCCTTAATGGAGGAACTGTGCATGCAGTGGATGGCAGCTGGCAGGGCTCTTACTCTCTGTTTGAAGCACAAGCTCCTTTTTTTGCACCCCAAGCCGCTTCCAGAAGGTCCAGGAGTTGCAATGTGGTTTGATGGAGGTGTTGGAAACTGAACCGGCCTATAGGAAATCCTGGTCTGAACTGGGGGGAGGAGGAGACCCAGGGAGAAAGGAGAGCATGCAACACCAGGTTGTTTCCAAGGAAGATGTTAAAGTCCTTAGGAGCTTTAATGCAAAGCGATCGCACAACACTAGGCAGCTGGAGGGAGAAAAGATCTCCTTTAGAGTGCTTTTCTGCCTGGGGGCTACCCTATCATAATGAGATGTTACTTAGACCTGATTCATTTAAACTCATCTGAAAGGCAGCACGGATAGGTCGTATCTGATGAAATATAAATCGCTTAGAAGCAGGATTAACGCTAATGAAATAAGGACCTCAAAGCACAGCTAAGTGAGCCTGAACAGGTTTTGAAAAGAACTGAAAAATCGCTACCATGCAACTATTCTGACAACTCTTCTGAGCCAGCACCATGCACGTATAAAACCACAGACCCCATCGCTTTCTGAGCAGTCTGAAGGATTTTCAGGACTGTATGCACAGAGGTGAGATGCAAGGCATTAGGTTATTTTTCATTTCCAGTTCCTGAGCTCTCCCCTTCTAGCAGTTAACCAAAACCTCAGTGCGTTTATCATTACCTGATTTAGTGCTGGCATCCCCGCATCTCTTCCAAACGTGGAGTAAGAGGCTCTTTCACTGCTCTTTCCTACGGCGGAGAAAAGAAAGACAACGTTTTGCGTGAATGGGAAGCAGAGATTTTACACACATCTACAGCCACGCGCCCTCCCGCCGGCTCGCAGGCTTCCCTGCCGAGACCCAAAGCCCACTCCTGTAATGTGGCAGCTTCTCCCCATTATCACAGAGGCAACCGAAGCAGATAATAGCTTGTTGCTAAAACAGGAGCTTTTTTAAGTTCATGAGCAGCAGGGCTCACTTGGTCCATAAACAACAAAACCCCCAAATGACAGCAATGCAGGCAAGTGCTTGTGGCCATGGAAACTGGCAGTTTCAGACCCAAGCCAAAAAAAAAACCCCTCTAGACAGATTAAAAAAAGCCATCCAAATTTGGCAGAGGCAGGGACAGAGCAAACCGAAAGCTAAGCATGATCGACCAACAGAATCTGCATGCGTCTCCCGTGCAACAGAAAATATTTCAGTGCACTGTTAGCAGCAGTGTTCAGAGCTGAACTCCTGCTCCTTGTGGTAGAGGGATTACCTTCTTTCTCTTTCTCGATGGATATTCAACTTTGGAGAAAAAAAAAAGTTGGAGCTAAAAAGCAGGCATTAAATAGAAAACTGTTTCCTTCCTTTTCAAGTGCCCTCCTTTAACTCCCACCGTGCAGGCTCCTCTCTTTGCAGTCAGTGCATCTCTCTCAACCTGGAGATTGCCTAGGGAATACACCAGGTTGAGCTAAACCCACATGCCCCAGCCCTGTCGAGTGAACTTTAGCATCCTGCCTCAGCCTTTATCAAATACACTCAACCTCGCTCTGCCCACGCGCTGCTGAAAATAGTATTTTCAAGGAAAAAAAAGAAAAAAAAAAACCACACACACATGCTGAGATGTTTCCATTCCGAAACATCCTTGCAGTATCTTCCCTTGCAGTTGCATGTCGCAGCACCTGGGATGCAAATAGGTGCCCAGGCAGCGGCCAGCCCCAGCATAGGATGGGAGAAGGGGGCCTGACGGGAACTCCAGGTTCACAGCAGTTGGCTTTGAGGTTTCCCCCTACACAATACTAAATGAGACGTTTTTCTGGGGGAAACAGGCGTCTTTTCATTTAAAAAAAAAAGTTTGCCTGGGCTGCAAACACACAAGGAATTTTTCGCTGCTGTTAATTGCAACCTATGAAAGGTGCCGCCGGGAAAAAGGAAGATGGGAGAGGATGATCAAAAAGGCTTTGAACCCTGTGACAGGACCTTGCTCGTCCCACACCAGTGGTGGCGATGGACTTTGCAACCCCCATGCCAAACCCCTTACCAAAAAAGGGGCAAACGCCTCCCAGCTACCTTAGCAAGTAGAATTGGGAAGGGGGAGGATTTTGCCAATCTGCTTAACCTAAAACCACCACCAAAGCCTGTTAGGATGCAGGTCAACGCAGTGGCCAAACCCGAGAGCCCAGGAAAGGGCCAAGGGATTGAGACCCTCCTCGCTTTCATGGCAGCCAGACACGCTGGTCCTCATTACTATTTTGTTTCAGGGGCTTAACCATTAGGTAAACAAAGGTCAAAATGTCAGAGGCTGGATCTCTTAAATGACCTAATTTTTAAAAGAGCTTAGCAGCTATATTTGCTGCAGCGCCAGCAACTTTACACAAATAACTCAATAGGTTGTGTCATCAGGCCGATCGTGATTACTCCTAAATCAGAGGAAAACCAGGGTAATTCCACAACGGTTTAGCTGGTAAGCGGCTGCTGAGCTTCTCTTCTGCAAATTTATCGCTGTTTCCACGTATCGCTTGCCTAGCTAAGCGACAAGCAAAACACCTCTCCTATTATCAGACAGCCTGACAGCCTTAGATGCAACAGAAAGCTAAAATGAAAGCTGCTTGTGCTTGGTGCACAATATACAAGGGGAAAAAAAAAGATGACTGCAAACCAGAGTAAATCTGCACAATATTTTTCAGAAAAATCCTGCTATTTTAATCTGACGTTTGTTCTTTTGTGCCTCACTTGATTCAAGTCAGAAACAAAGCACGCCTGGTACTGGCAATCTGTTTTACACTTTGATCAGCAGGCGTTTTGCAGAATGGAAGAACTTTAAAAATAGTACGCGGGAGAGCCCAGCTATTGCAAATTGGAGTGCAGCTTCAGCAACTAAAAGCTCTCTGTTTTTACATAGAAAGGGAACGAGTGGCAAACATCTCAGCAACAGAAATTGCAAATTTAATTGTCAAGTTGGAGAGAAAATGCTAACGCGTCCGTGGGGACCATATGTCCTTTCTGCTCCCTGGGAGATGCTATGCGGAAAGCTCTGCCCTGCTGATGGCGCGCACTGCCCGCCGGCACATCTGGGAGCTGGGCTGCTCCTGGAGTCGGCCAGGATTCCCGTCCTGCAGCCGCGGTGTGGAGGAGGGCCGCTAACCAGAAATGTGGTCAAAAAAACAAAACAAAACAAAACAAAACACAAAACCCACAAACACACCGCAAACTGGGACGAAAGCACCTCCAGGTGAAAAACACCAGCGATTTCTAAAAGCTACATCGCTCCCGCACAACCACTCAATTTTACAATTTTGAAGAGGCCGATGCAGGCATTAAGGGATCCTGGGAAAATTCAGATGATACTGGGAATAAATCCCTTGAGTGAGAAATGGGATTTCCCCTTAGAAACCCTCTCCTTCAAGCTTACTTCTGCATATTTTCGGATATGAAGGTGAAGCTAGGTTGTCACTATATGGGGGAGGGCACCTTAAGCAAGAAAGGACTCAGTGGACCTAGAAACTGGCTGGGAGTATTTAACATTTCGAGTTATTTATTGCATTCAGTGGTTTCCTCCGCTCTGAGACTGGCATTCTCTGTCCTGCCTTTTTAACCCCTATCGGTTCCCTGGTCTTTTCCCTGCCCCTCACCGTACAGTAGGCAGCCTGCTCACTTTCAACCTTTTTTAATAAGCAGTTTCTCAATCTCTCCCCAGCGTGTCCTTTCTTGCAGAATCACACGCATGCCATGGCTGAAACGAAGCTCTGCCCAGGTGCCCAGCCCGCCTTTCGCTTCAAAACGCCTGAGAAAACCTCATGTGCGTCTCCGTGTGCAGCTCGCCTGAGTCTCTGCCCCCAGACACAGGTTTGTCCCTGGATGAGGAGCGAGATGAGGAGCTCGTCCCCAATGGCTGCTCATCACGGCAGCAGCAAACGCCGCGAGCCACAGATGAGCCTCCAAGGCTGGACTTGCACAGCAGCAGAGCTGAGAGCCTCGTGCAGCATTTCACCTCCAAAAAGGGTGATCTGGGCAGTGCTTTTAAGCAAACAGGTGATTTTGAGGTTTTGCTCCCCAAGATGAGGCCAGCTCACAGATGCATACAAATCAGGCAAGAAAAGGGCGATTCGTGTTGCCTCTGAATTGCCAATAAGCCTCCCAGGAGGAACACAGGTGCTTCACAGGTATGCAATATCCTGCACTTCTTTCCACCTGCAGGTGCTCTCAGATCACCCTATCCGTATGCACCCAAATCCAGTCCGGGTGGTGGGTCCCCATGCACGAGTCCCAGAGAGCAATGCACCCGCCCGTGACCCGCCCCCAATCCCTGCTGCCGACACAACCCATTTGAAGGGAGGGAGAATATCTCAATTCTAGTAATTCCATTAGAATTATTTCCTGGGGAAAAGGGAGGTAAAAGACAGATTAAAAGAGAAAACAAAAGTGAAAAAAATGGGAGCGGCAACAAGCCCCATCCATGGACAGATTAAAACCATTGTCCAGGAAGAACACAACAGCCCACAATACACACAAGATTAGAAACACTTCTCTGAAAAGAAGCTAATTACTAGAAATAATTACTAGAAAGAAATCTGTTATGGCTTATCAGTTTCTCTGCTCTTTAAACAATCCTCACCACCATCCCACCTCCCTTCAGTGAAGATGAATGGTAAAACAGTGACTGATTTTTAACTTATCTAGTCCAATGCAACGCAGCTAAGAACATTTCCCACCCAGTTAGTCTTACAGCAAAGCCAATAATTTTTTTTCCCTATCACCTTGCTGATTCCGTTCGGCACCTGAAGGGCCACCGATGCCTTGGAAAGCATCTAATTAAAGATTGCCCTCATGCCATCCCTGTCAATGAGCAGATGAATATCCTCATAGACAGGCTGTCAGGGACCCTCAAGAAAAGAGACAGAGCATCAGAGCAGCAGGGGCATGTGCAGGTCCCAGGGACGGGCCAGCCCCAGGCTCTTGGTCTGTGCTCAAGGTACCACCCCAATCAAGGTCCCATCATGCCAGATGCTGTTTGTGCATCTAAAGAACAACTTGTAAGCCCCAAATGGTGAATTTGCATGTCCCAGGCAAACAAATAGAAATCAGTACCCTTCCTGTCAAAGTGTGCTACAAGATTTCACACCGGTTTAGGACAAGGCGTGCATCACCCGGTTGCATATCCTTGCAACCTGCAGAGACATTCCCCTACTAGCCCTTAGGACCTGGGCTCCCTGCAGACGAGCAGGCAGGTAAATGTACCTCCAACCCACCACACTGGTACCTTCCTGCTCCCAGTGAATATTCATGGCCTGCTTGCATGAAATCACATACACTCTCTCTCTCTCCAGATTCAATTGCTCTGGCACTTTGCAGCAGAAAACTTCATGATCCCCTAGAGCAGGCTGGAGTCGAGCAGCCACTCACCCCAAATGTCAGACCCACTTCTTTCCCTTCCCTCCTCCTGGAGTTTGCTGCCAGGCTGCTTTCTCAATTTTTTTTCCCTGCATAACCTGAAACCAATGTTCTTTTCTGCTTCTGGGTGTGATAACCACTGCTTGTAAGCCATACATCCGTAGCAACACACAACCAAACCTTCCCTAGCCGATCTTCCAAAGCCAGGTCCAGTGCAGGAATATATCAGGAAGAAATTTGGATTAGCAAGTTTATATATGCTGCTGCTCCTTTATCAAAATGGCTATTACACCCTGCAGTAAACAAATTTCTCTCTTCACCCCTCTGTCTACGTCAGACCGTTTTGTGAGCGACGCTACAGGGGTCTCTGATGAAACCTGACCTGTGTAATGACGGAGATGCAAAACAGCTTGTGCAGGAAGCAGACCCCAGATGCCAGGTACTGCCAGCGTAGCATAACCAAATCCCTTCCCACGTCACAATGTCAGTGACAGCACTGGAGCTCAACACTTTCCAAGCTCAGCTGCAAGAACCACAGGTGAGACAAGCTTGCAGGACAGCAGGGAGTACACAGCTGCATCTCTGTTCCTCCTCCACAACACCATGGCCCTAAAAAGCAACCAGCTCTCTGGGGACAGGTGAATTCTCCAATCTCGAAAGGATTCAACCTAAAGCTCGCCCCGGACAGCAGCTGCCAGGCATAACCCTGCCTCCCTTCCCAGGAAGCAAAGGACTAGTTTAACCCTTGTGGGCAAGACTGGCAAGTTTGCTGAAGCTCAGGCGGACAGGGAGTCCCCTCGGCCACCAAAGGCCTGCGAGTCAGGTGACTCCTTTCCATTTTCTGGATACATGTGGAAAGTGAAGAAAAAAAAATTAACATTCAGCTCATTTTTTCCAACCAGTGCTAGCTGAACAGCATTCGCTTTTCAGTGCAGGAAGAGCGCTGTTCCCACTTCAGATAGGCTTTTGCAGGCATCTTTAGATGGCTCGTTGCAACCTGCCACTGGGAAATGGCATAAACTTGAGAAAAAATACCTGGAAGAATTATGAGCTCTTTGGGCTCATCTTTCTGTGGCCCCACTTTCTATGGCAGCTGGCAGAGATCTGATGCTCAGACCTCACATTAATGGGAGAAGCTAAAATTCAGATGTTTCTTTGCAGAGCCCTTTCAGCTCAGCCTCCCTCTCTGTAACCGGCCAAGCCCATCTTTTCCAACACAAAACATGCTCCTCTTGAAATATTTCTTCTAGTGGTTTCTGATCCTTCTTGAAGAAATAGAGTGAGAAACAGATATAAATTCCTATTTTGGAGAAGGGCTTAGAAAATGGTTTCACACACCTTTCATCTCTTCATGTTTTAAAATTCATCAAGTCCACTAAATTGTCCTATTAGCATTAGCTTTTCCAGCTTGTTCCCCTCGAAAGGGAATCTTTCTGGAAACCAGGGGCTGTCGGTTGAAGCGATACATCTCCAAAGTTCATGTTTCCCTTCCACTTTGCTACGCTTGCCATATGCAAAATGGTGCGTGTGGGTTCCTGTTCCCATTTTTCTCACCTTCCATTTATCATTTCACCCCTTGAAAAGTTTGCAGAAGCAGTTTGGTGAGAAGGAAGAGCAAACCCCACCCGTGGTCTTCCTTTGATCTGTCGTTCTCAGTACATGAGCAAAGAGGCAAGGCGAAACCTATTTATTTTGGAATCTGCTTCAGGAATCGGTGTTTTCTGTTTTAACCACATTCAATTTTAGGAACAAACATGACTTTGAAATGTTAGATGTCCTCCTATCTGCTCCTTCCTGGCCTCTCCAGCTCCTGTCTTGGCAACGGGACTCTCACTGCCAAACCTCAACCATCTGGGCCAGCAGACAGGACCTTGCACCCATCCTGACAGATACAGCTCCAACAGGCATCCGAGTCTTCAGCAACATGCGCCGTTGCCTTCTTGGGCGGGCAGGCTTAGCGGGGGCAGGCACAGGATTTTAGGTGCCACAAAGCAGCAGCTCTCCTTCCACCTTAGCACAACTCATGGAAATCACCTCCAGTCTGGGCAGCAGAGGCTTCAGCTCCACATGCTAGAGAGGCTGGGTTTGCAGGCTCGCTGGGGAGTGCCAAGGCGCTTGCCAAAGACCTGGAGTCCTGTCTTTGAGCGGAAGCCAAACACGTCTTCCTTGCACACATCAAAGGGGAAACCTCCATGTTCCTTCCGAGGCAGCTCCTTCTCGGTTGGAAATTCTCAAGGCTGACTTTGCTGCAGGGGTGGGATGGGCTGCCCCTCTCCAACACCCCCAAAAAACCCTGCTGAATTTCATCAAGACTCCCCTGTTTTCATTAAGAAATACATCTTCTGCTTTGCTTACATCCTCCTGGGCCAGAAAATAAGAAGGAATAATGTCCTTTCAGAGCAGAAGGGGAGAGAGCCTCTTGGAAACGTTCTTCCTTGTCTGCACAGGACCCCAGAGGGGCAATTAAACATTCCCATCTGACATGGAGAGGAGAGAACTGGCAAGAGAGCTGGATCTGACCTCAAGACCCTTCCATCAGCCACAGCACAGAAGGAGGAAACGTGTGGACACCTGCTTCCTAGCGCTACCAGGCTCTTCTCTTCCCCTTTCTAACCAGCTCCAGAGAAGGAGGAACCTCTGATGGTAGTGGGGATTTTCTGTTTTAAATAAAATTTCCTCTTCTAACCCCACCCTTCCAAAACATGAGCAAAACTACCCTGACACCACTCTTTC